TGGGCGTGGCCGAGGCGGGGTCTGCAGGTGGGCGGGACCGAGGCGGGGTCTGCAGGTGGGCGGGGCTGAGGCGGGGTCTGCAGGTGGGCGGGGCCCGGAGGACCGGGCGCGCCGGGGCATCGGGCTGGGGACGCGGTGGTCTGGAGGCCGCTTCTCTCCCGAGGGCGACCCGGGAGGCGAGGCGCGGAGACACGGGGACTCCCCGCACCAGTACCGCCGGGCAGACCCCGGAGGACCTCCCCTCCTCCCCTAGCCGGCCTCCCCGCCCCGCCCCGGCCCCGCCGGCGGGGGTCGCGCGCTCGTTCGTTTTTGGCGCTGCCCGGGTTTCTCTGCTCACGACGAGCGCTTCCGCTTCCGCTTCCGCCGCAGCTGTGCTTCCAGCTTTAACCGATGAATGGCCGGTGGGAGCCAGGGCTTCCGGCCCGGGCCGGCCTGGCCGCCAGCTGGGGGGCCGGCTTTGTGTCGTGGGCTCCCACCTGGGACGGAGCCTCGCCCGGCTGTGCGCGCTTGCCTGCGTCCCGCCCCGGAGCGGCTGGGCGGTTTGGGTTGTGGAGCTCAGAGGAGGATGAGGAACCCACAGGGCACGCTTAGCAGGCCACCACCGAGGGGAACCCCTTTTCCTCTCTGGACCCTCGGCATCCCTCCTCCACCCCCTCTGCGTCTGCAGCCGTTTCCAGACCCACCGCCCCAACCCCCCAACACGTTGTCTTTCCTGCTGGCTGCTGGCTGCACACACGCCTAGAGCTGGACCTGCAAGGGTCAGGGGTCAGTGAGGGAGAACGGGAGGCCACTGGAGGTGCTGCCAGGCGGGCCGGATCCCCTCTGCACTGGGCGAGCCCTGTGGGCACGTTGCCACAAGTGTTGCAGGGCTTCCGACGAGGGCCGGGTGCTGTCCTGCGCCAGCCGGGCCCTGGGTCCCTGCTTCCCAGCGGCTCATGCAGGCAGCCACGGGTGTCCTGACAGCCAACTGGGACCTGTGTCAGGCTCCCGGGGCCCCGCCAGGCTGGCCCAGAGAGGGCGGACGGCAGCTCTCCTCGCACTGGCCCTCCTCAGCTCCAGAGGAAGCGGGCACAGAAAGCCCACTGCAGGCTCCGCCCTCAACCCTGGGCTGCGGAGGAGACGCGGCTGCTGCTCAGACCTGCCAGGCTCGGGAGGAAGGCGATGGGGCAGCGGGTGTGGGCCGCGGCGGCCAGGGCTATCACCCAGCCTGGACAGGGGCAGGGCCAGGTGAGGAGCCCGGCAGTGGAGGGGTGGAGTAAGGGCTGCGAGACCTGGGGAGGTGGGGAGTGGTGGAGCCAGGGCTGGGGAGGGTGGCCTCCTGGGCCAGGGTCCCTCTCCACATGGGACTGGACGGGGCTGGGCCCCAGTGCCTGTGGAGGGCTCCCCTCCCTCCTCAGAGCAAGCCCAGAGCAGAAGGCTCTGGCTTAGCGCACAGGCCGTCCAGGCGCTGGTCGGGCTTGTGACTGGGGCCAGGATGTGAAGCAGTCTCTGTGCCCCGAAGGGGAGGACACAGGTGACAGACAGCACGTCCCAGCAGTCACTCATGCTCGAGCGAGTGGACGCCTCGGCCAGGCCCTGGGCCCCGGGCGCCCGGAGCCTGGCCCATGACCCTCAAAGGCTCAGATGTTATCATTTCTCAAAAAGTCAACTTCTTTTAAGTATCTCTACAGTGAACAGGGAGATCAACTCAAGTATCATAGCGGATCAAAATACAACTTGAATATCGTGTGGATCAACAGTGTGGCTGTGGGGAAGGGGGAGGGGGCCGGCGCAGAGCGCCCCTGTGGGGTCAGCTGGATGACAAGGCGCCTGAGCTTCCGTCTGTGTTAAGTCTGCAGCCCACTCGGTGGTTCAAACCCACGCCGCCCAGCTTTCTTCCCCAGCTGCTCTCGTAGGTGTGTCTGGGGGGCGTGGGACTGCCACACTGTGACACCCCCGTCCTGGAGCACTGGCCCCGTGCTGACCTCACCCCCGGCCCATGGCCCCCGGCCCCAAGCAGCCTCTGTCCCTGCTCAGTCTGCACCACGCAGGGCCCCAGGGATATTCTGCTTTCTGATTCCATCAAATCGCACTCTTTCTGGAGGGGAAGGGTGTTGTTCTGCCTTATGGTTGATTTCCCTTGGGTTTTATTATATTTTTACTTTTCTCTTGGTACCACATCTAACGAATGGCTTATTCATTTCCAGACCCTGTGTGTTTGTTTTAAATCTGTGCGTTTGCTCATCAAGCTACCGCTTCAGTTGGCAATGAAGGCTGTGCTGGTTCTCATTACCCTCCCACTCCAAGGGCACTCTGAGAACCCCTTCTCCTCTTCAGCAGATGAACTGGTTGTTTTGGGGAAAGGCCTGGGGTGGAGGTGCTGGGACTTGATTTCTTTCCTTTTTTTTTTTTTAATCTTTTTCTTTTTGTGGGGTTTGAACTCAGGGCCTGGCCACTGTGCTGCTCAAGGCTAGCACTCTAATGCTTTGAGCCACAGCTCTACTTCCGGTTTCCTGGTGGTTCATTGGAGATAAGAGTCTCAGGAGGACTGGGAATGTGGCTTAGTGGTAGAGTGCTTGTCTAGCATGCATGAATGAAGCCCTGGGTTCGATTCCTCAGTACCACATATACAGCAAAAAACAAAAACAAAAGAGTCTCAGGAACTTTCCTGCTCAGGCTGGCTTCTGATCCTCAGATCTCAGCCTCCTGAGATCTAGGATTGCAGGTGCGATCCTTGGATCTCAGCCTCCTGAGTAGCTGGGACTACAGGTGTGAGCCATCGTTGCCTGGCTTGTGGCCCTGATTTTCTGCAGATGGGGTTGGCACCCTGACCCATCTCACTCAGGTGTCGGCGTCTGTCTTCAGGGTGCCCCGGCCATCGCCTCCCCCCAGAGGCCGCAGAGGTCTTCCTGTGTCCCCAGCATGGGAACCGGCTGGCAGCTGTGGGATTTCTCCCGAGTTTGGTAATTGTGTTTTTATAGGGAGTCTGCAAAAAGACACTCAAGTTAAATCTTGGAATCAGGAAGCGGAGCAGAGCCGGTGCAGAGGCTACAGGAACGGAGAGAGAATGGAGCTTCGCCAATGCCTGCTGTAGACACAGAACGACCCCGCCAGGCGGGAGCCTGAGAGCGAAGGATCATGGTTTGAGGCCACCCCCCGGCAGAAAAGTTCACAAGACTCTACCTTGAAAATAACCAGAAAAACAAACAACAACAAAAAAGCAGGACTGGCATCCTACAAATTGTGAGGCCCTGCCTCATTGCAAACCCTAATACCTCAAACTCCCCCACAAAAACGTTAGGTGGCAAGAAAAATGAATTATACATTCAAATACCTACCAAGGAAGTGGGGAAGAAAGGGAGGTGGGGAGCAGCCCTGCTTACATATTGGGTTAGGAAAAAGTGACACTGAGCATTCTTGATGCAGGTGTGAGGTTGAGCTTCCTAGTAGTAAATGTGAAAGTGAACTAGTTCACACATCTTAGAGCTAAAAAGCAGTGGAAAAAAGTTGTAAGACTAATGTCAGTATCATCAGTGCTCACATATAGACCAGAAACACACAAGTAGAACCTGAAATTTAAAAATCTTAACACTTACAACAGCACCTCCTAAAAAAAGAACTTAGGTATAAACCTAACAAATTATATTCATGAAATTCTAATTAAAGAAAATCTCCAAAGTTTTTGGATGAGAGTTTTAGGAGATTTAATATACCTGACTATGACTTGTTTTATGACTCAAGAAGGTGGGCAGTTTTGAATCTGGTGACCTTAATCCTAACTGTACTGCAGGTAAATTAAAAGTGCTCAGGCCTGCAATCCTGGCTACTCAGGAAGCTGAGATCTGAAGATCCTGGTTCAAAGCCAGCCTGCACAGGAAAGTCCATGAGATTCCTATCTCCGATTACTGCCCCCCCCAAAAAAAGCCATAAGTGGAAGTGTGGCTTAAGTGGTAGAGTACTAGCCTTGAACAAAAAAGCTCAGACAGCTGGGTGCTGGTGCTCACACCTATAATCCTAGCTACTCACAGGCTGAGATCTGAGGATCAGGGTTCAAAGCCAGCCCAGGCAGGAAAAGTCTGTGAGATTCTTATCCCCAATAAACCACTAGAAAGCTGGAAGTGGCGCTGTGGCTCAAGTGGTAGAGCGCTTGCCTTGAGCTGAAGAGCTGAGGGACAGCACCCAGGCCCTGAGTTCAAGCCCCATGACTGACAAAAAAAGCTCAGAGACAGTGATCAGACCCTGAGTTCAAGCCCAGGACTGCCACATACACACAATGTTTGGGACATTTGAAATTACCTTTTTGGTGAACTCTGTGTCATGATGTCATATATTTTATCACAATGTTCAAAGTCAGCTTTGGAACATTAGCAAGGCTGAGGTGGGTAATGTGTTATTCTGGGAAGAATATGAAGCTGGTGGGAGACGTTGGAGAGTGGCAGTTGGTCCTCAGGAGCGGATCTCAGATGTTGCTGCTGCTGGGTCCCTTCGGACCCTCCTGTGTTCCTCCCCATCCCGGAGCCCCGCCCCGCCCACCCAGCCCCCCTTCCTGAGGAAGTCCTCAGGACCCATCCAGCCCCCTCTGTGGCACTGCCCCCCCCATGGCCAGTGGCCTCCTAGGACCCAGACAATAACCTAGCAAACGCCACCCCAGGGACAGTGGGTCTCTGTTTGGAGAGAGGGAGCCTGGTGAGGTGATTCCCCCAGCAGGAGGGGGGCGGGCCTGTGGGGCCACCCGGTCTTGGAGCAGTGTGGGGGGGACAGCGAGGGCCCCTCCGTGGGCACCCCCTTGCCCGGGCACCTTGGGCGGAGGGGCCAGTGTGGAGGGAAGAGTGGGTGAGGGTCGGACCGCAGCTGTGGTGTCTCCCGTTCCTCCGGCTTCGCCAGGCCCGGGCGGCCTCCCGCTCAGCGCCCCCTGGAGAGAACCCGGGGCATCCTGGCAGGAATAGAGGTGGACAGCAGCTGGAGGGCAGGAGATGCCAGTGGGGCAGAGGCACAGGCTGAGGGTCTTTACCACAGGGTTCCGGCAATGCTCAGGGCCACTGGCAGCGGGAGCCCCCCGGGCAGGGCGCGGAGGCCCAGCGCCGCGTTGCAGAGTGGCTGGGAGCAGCACCGCCTGGTGATCCTGCCCTGCAGGCGGGTGGCCACGCTCCACTGGAACACACTGTTGGAGTTGGGGCACTGCAGAGCGCAGCGCTTGCTTAGGAGAACTCGGATCCTTGATCCTGCGGGAGTCAGGAGACAGCGGCTGGCCCCCAGTCCCCAGCAAGAGGGCACAGTGCCAGGGCCTTTCTTGGATCCCCCAGGGAAAGGGGAAGTCGAGGACAGCTCGCATTTCATGAATGGATCTCTTAAGTGAATCATGCCGCAACCAGGCCCTGGGACATGGGGCCTCGGGGAGGAGGCCGTGTGCTGGGTGGGCCTGGCCCGGGGTGGACATGGCCCCAGGGAGCCAGACGGTCCAGCAATCACAAGCGGCCATGTGTTCCCACAGGTCACCTGGGCACAGGGACAGCTTGTGCTATTCCCATGGGGGTAGTTGCCTTCCTGGTGCTCCATGTCCTCCTCTGCCTCCCCTCCCCCTGGGGTTCTGAACCAAGCAGGGACCTGAGCCAGGGCGGCCAGGCGGTGGACTCACGGGAGAAGACGGTCACCTCGTTGGAGACGCAGACCTGCTGGCCCTCCTGGCACTTGGTGGGGTGGCACTGGTTCTTGCTTTGGGCTTTGAAGCACTGGAAGCAGCTCAGGTTACTGGCGTGGGAGGTGCTGCGGGGCACCGGGTGGACAGCCTGCGGGACCAGAGGGCCGGGGCCCCCTGTGCACCCCTTGCCTGGTGCCTCTGCAGAGCCCACCAGCTCTGCGGACACCAGGGACACCCACATCGCCAGCACCAGCCCCTCCATGGTGTGGGCTGGCCCAGGCCGGCCACCAGGCTGCCCGCCCTCGCCCCGCCCACGGCCCTCACCATGCCCTGGGGGAGGGACTCGGGGAAGGGCTGGTCCCCAGGGCTGCCTGGGCAGGCCAGGGCTGGCCTCCTCCTGGCACCTGCTGTGCCATAGGTCCAAGCAGCAGGGCATGGCTCCCAGTCCAGCTTCAGATCCTGACTCAGGGCCCAGGACACGCAGGATGCCCCTAGGCTACCCCAGGACAGCCCAGGACAGCCTCAGGATAGGCCAGGCCAGCCTGGACAGCCCAGGATACCCCAGGACAGCCCTGAAAACCCCCGGGACAGCAGAGGCTGCCCTGGACCCAGAACATGCTCAGGACGGTCCTGGACAGGGCGGGGCCTGCAGGATGTGACCTGGCCAATTGGGCCGGACTGGGGAAACGCCGGGTGGGGGCGGAGCCTCTAGCGGGGCCTGCGGGATGGGCGGGGCCTACAGGGCGGGTGGGCACGCGGGGTCTTC